GCTCTTCCCTGGCAAGCGCAAGGGCCTGAGTTCAATCCCCAGTTCCACCAAAAAAAAAAAAGAAGACGCTGAAGCCCCTACGAACACACTCAGCCACCTTATGTTTGACACAGGGGCCAAACATACTCACTGGAAGAAAGATTAGCCTCTTTAACAAATGGTGCTGGAAAAACTGGCTCTCTAAAGGCTGAAAACTCAAACCTGACCCAGATCTATCACCATGCACTAAGCTTACGTCAAAATGGATTAAAGATTTAAACATTAAAGCAGAGACCCTGAAACTCCTGGAAGAAAGTAGGAGGAACTCTTTTTTTTTTTTTTCAGGAACTGGGGTTTGAATTCAGGCCCTTGAGCTTGCCAGGGAAGCGCTTATTCCACTGAGCCATCTCCTCAGCCCCATGTAGGAGGAACTCTTGAAGACACAGTGGTAGGCAAAGACTTCATGAACAGAAATCAAATCGCATGGGAAACAGTTGAAAGGATTAACAACTAGGACCTGCTCTTACTGAAAAGTTTTTTCATGTGAAAAGAAGTTACCAACAAAGTGAAAAGGCAATCCAAAAATCTGGAAAAAATCATGACAAATAAGTACTCAGACAAAGGTCTGCTCTCTAGAATCTATAAAAAACTAAAAAACAATAGGGCCCCAAAATTTAAAGACCCAATCCAGAAATGGGCTTCCGAGATGAACACATGCTTCTCAGACGATGAAATTAAAGAAGCGAATAAATATATGAAAAAATGCTCCACATCACTATCCATCTGTGAAATGCAAATTAAAACAACACTGAGATACCATCTCACCCCAGAGAAAATGGCTATCATAAAGAAATCACCCAATAACAAATGAGGCTGTGGGGAAAAAGGAACCCTTCTCCATGCTGGTGGGAATGTAGACTGGTGCAACCATTATGGAATCAGTGTAGAGACTCCTTAGAAAAGTTGGACTGGAAATCCCATTTAAACCACCTATTCCTCTACTGGGAATTTTCCCGGAGGATCTGAAAATATCATATCATAGGGATATATGCATGCCTATGTTTATAGCAGCACAATTTGTGATAGCCAAATCTTGGAAGCAACCAAGATGCCCATCACCTGAGGAATAGTTGAAAAAGATGTTTTTTATGCAATGGAGTATTACTCAGTTATAAAGAACGATAAACTCGAAGCCTTTATATTGAAGTGGATGCCACTTCAACATAAAAGTGAAAGAAGCCAGACACACATGTGTAAACATCATAGAGTTTACCTAGTATAAGAACTCAAAAGAAGAAATACAAAAAATAGAAAGGTATAATACAAGTAAAAGGAAAGCAGGATCTCGAAGACTAACTAAGCAAAAGAGGGAAGGAGAAGAGCTAGGAAAGATGACAGTGTCAAGCCATACAGTTATATGTAGAAGATGGGCAAGGCAATGATCCTGAGAATCTCTGGAAGATTTTTTAATCTAGCAGTTAATTGGAAAGATTCTCACCCTGACTAACTATATATACTGATACCTGTGA